GCTGGGAAATCAGCACAGATTATGTCACCAGGACCCCAATTCAATCACTGAATACAAATAGGCAGCAGAGCGGAAGCTCTCATCCCCATTTATAGACGTGCAGAGTCACAGACAGTCTGAAGTTTCCATGCTCGGCTTTGATTTATGTCTCGTGATTCAGGGAAATGGACTGACCTAAGAATCCTGGCCTCGTTCAGTTGACCACCAATGCCAAATGGATTTGGAAGAAAGGGCGATCTATAATGACCACCCCCCCTGTATTAAGGGAAAAAAAAAGTTCATCTTTCTCTGCAGGGGTCAACTCAGGCCCATTCCACTGTTATTTCCTCATTATTGCCCTACATCTAACAGTAACCTTGTGGCTAAACAAAACCAGCAGGGCAATTACATTTCAAACTTCTCTCGGAATCTAGACTCCATGGTAACCCTACACCTCGTGCTACTGACCTCCTGGGGAGGAAATTGGCGTCCTCTGCTTTTGGAGGAAGTGAATTACACCCCCCTTCCCCCCTCAGAGGCCCCGGGTCACAAGCTGACATTCCATTCTGTTTGTGGGCAAAAGGGTTTCTTTTTTCATTATTTTGCTATTGACACCAGTCAGTAGGCAGTGATTTCGTTGACCTAAAAGTGAAATCACCAGAATTTAAGAGAAATCGACTGTTCGAGATACGTTTAAATTCTGGCCGGTAAAGAGATGCCAGGCATATTGCCGATTGCCTACAACTCCTTTTTTTCAGCATGTGGCCTAACTTCCTATTAAAAATTTCATCAAGACGTTTGCTAGAATATGCCCCATGTGTCTGAAACATACAACCTTTCAGAGGTTAAAAAAAAAAAAAAATCTTTAACTCCCCAGTAGGAGCAAAATGGGAGTAAAGGGCTGATCCTTTTAAACCAAGAACAATGGCATCAGATTCAGAGGGTTGACTTTTGTTCCCGTGTCGGACAACAGATTTTCTGGAATGTTCTGAGGTCACTCACACTCCATATTTGTAATCAGATCACAAAAAGACAGAAAAACTGTTTCAGGTACCCATAAAAAAAAGGTATTTATTACAATTTCTCTTTAAAATAAAGGAATTAAGTCACACTGCAGATGGGTACTGGGTTTCTTTTTAGGGTAATGAAAATGATCTGTTATTGTGTGTCTACAATTCTGTGAATGTGCTAAAAAAAATGAATTCTATGATATGTGAATTGCAACTCAATGAAGCTGTGACATTAACAGAAAGAACTAAGTTGCAATGATAGTTTCCTCATCAAACAATTATTTTTAAGAACTAAGCAAACAGCCCTTTTCATAACGACTAGAGTTTGGGAAGGAGATATTTAAAAACTATATTAGCAGCAGTTTGACTACCTCAGCAATACATTGTTTAAGATTTTCCACTGAAGGGATCCTGGCTGATTCAGTCTGTAGAGCATGCGACTCTTGATCCTGGGGTTGTAAGTTTTGAGCCCCATGCAGGGTGTAGAGATTACTTAAAAATAAAATCTTTAAAAACGTAATAATGAAAATAAAATAAATAAATAAAATTTTCCAGTGAAATGAAGAATAAATTTTCTGTCTGTACACGGAGGTAACACTATATTGTTGCATTATTGTTACAATTTTATTTAGCCAAACCTATCTGCTTATTATAAATCTGAGTGTCAGTATCTGCCTAGGTGACCCAGGATGTTAAAGGAGCAGTCAGGGCTCTTGGAGGGTAAAGGAGTCATTGCGCGAAGTAGATATGTCACTGCAAGATTTACAACATGATTTTTAACTGCTACCGCAGATCTGTTACATGGCAGGTGGGAGTATAAACTGGCCCAAGCCCTTAAGAAAGGTAAATAGCGGGGCACCTGGGAGGCTCAGTCAGTTAAGCGTCATACTTCGGCTCAGGTCACGATCTCATGGTTTGTGAGTCCGAGCCCTGCATCGGGCTCTCGGCTATCCGCTCAGAGCCTGCTTCAGATCCTCTGTCCCCCTCTCTCTCTACCCCTCCCCCCTCACACACACACACACTAACACACACACTCTCTCTCTCTCTCTCTTTCTCTCTGTCTCAAAAATAAACATTTTTTTAAACAAAGAAGGGGAAATAGCAAGAAGTATAAAAAGGTTCCTAAAAGACAGCCATGCCTTTGACCCTGTTTTCACACCTGCAGAGATCTATCCCTGTGAAATAATACAAAGAACTAGGACCAAAAATGTGTATCCAACATCACTTCTGGTAATAGACTTTTGACCTACGACAAGAATGTATGTATGTACATATGTAGAGCTATGTATTGGGGGAAATTATGAAAATCCACTTTATGGTATAGTGTGCAGCTGTGGAACATTTTTTTTCATTATGTTAAAAGGGAAAAAAAGGGGGCACCTGGGTGACCCAGTTGGTTAAGCGTCGGACACGTGATTTTGGCTCAAGTCATGATCTCACGGTTTGTGGGTTGGAGCCCCGCGTCGGGTTCTGTGCTGACAGTGTGGAAACTGCTTGGGATTCTCTGTCTCCCTCTCTCTCTCTCTCTGCCCCTCCCTTGCTCTCTCTTTCTAAATAAATATTTAAAAAGATAAAAGGCAACTGTATATGTACTACAATAGTACATATTTTAAAGATACGGCGTGCTGGTTTCCAAGGGATGCCCACACCTTCTCTGCTTCTCCTTACTTTTCAAGAACGTAATGGAATCCCTCCTTCCTGGAGCCCGAGTGGAACTCAGCGACTTGCTTCTCGTGGGCAGAACCCGGTAGAAGTAGAGGAATGTCGACTCTAACACGGACTGTCGTGTCCATGTGGGGGTTCAGTCTCTCCCCGCACTTCCTGCCTCTCCTCCACTCGCTCTGGAGACAACCCTCCCGAAAGGCCATCCTGCCTAATGGAGAGGCACCTGCCATGTGTGGACACTGAGGCAGCCCGTGGAAAGCCGACTCGTGCTGAGAGACCGAGGCCCCCGGACAACCACGTGCCTGAGCTCAAAAATGGGTCCTTCCCCAGTCGAGCCTTGAAGCAGCCCTGGCCGACAGCTTGGCTGTGGCATCATGAGAGAGGCCATCAAAGCCCCCCAGGTAAACCGCCCTAGGAGGCTCGACCGGCAGAAACTTTGAAATAACAGTGTTTTTAAGCCACTCGTTTTAGGACCATCTGTTACACAGCCATAGACACCGAGTACATATAACAGAGGGAAGAATTATGGGAACATATACCAAAATGCAAACGGGGGTATTTTAGTCAGATGACACAACATTTTCCCTCTTTTTGTCTCTCTTTTCAAAGACCCTATAACGGAAAGTATTCATTGCAGGCTGGTTGACAATTTTTCAGTCCCTTTATTATACAAACAGTAATTGAACTTTTTTCCCAAGTCCTATGAATCTAAAGGATGTGAACTTCATTACTGTTCAGAGATACACGTGGAGCGGGGAGGGGCATGACTGTCCCTTTCAGATGCAGCGGCTCACGACACAGACATTGACGCATTCGCTGCTGTATTCTGTCCCTTTCTTTTTTTTTTTTTTTAATTTTTTTTAACTTTTTTAAATTTATTTCTGGGACAGAGAGAGACAGAGCATGAGCGGGGGAGGGGCAGAGAGAGAGGGAGACACAGAATCGGAAACAGGCTCCAGGCTCCGAGCCATCAGCCCAGAGCCCGACGCGGGGCTCGAACTCCCGGACCGCGAGATCGTGACCTGAGCTGAAGTCGGACGCTCAACCGACTGAGCCACCCAGGCACCCCTTGAGTCTAGCTCTCTTTTTTTAAAAAAAAAA